GCCATGGAGATAAAGAGATGAATGAAATGTACTCTTTCTCTCATGAAGTTTTGAATGTTATTCCTTGGGCAAGTTACACAATGTCTCTTAGTCTCAGTTTCCTCAACTATAGAACAGGTTTGATAATAATTCCCACAGCTAACACTGAGTAAGCCTTTACCACCGTGCAGGGACCCACGCTGCTGGCCTTTACATTCAATGCTCGTAGCCCAGAGGCAGGAACCATCGTCTTCCTCACTTACCAAAATCAAGAAGTTAAGCACTACTTCCCCAGTCACTGTGATAAGAGAATAATGAATGGCCTCCCAAAGATGTCCCCACCCTAATCCCTCGGCAAAAGGGGCTTTGCAGATGTCATTAAGGTTATGGACATTGAGATGAGGAGATTATCCTGGATTATCCAGGTAGGCCTGGTCTAATCACATGAATCCTTTCCCAATTGGGTCAGAGAGAGACACAGTGACAGGAGGGACCAGAGAGATGCAGTGGGGGAGGACTCCGCTCACCACGGCAGGCTCTGACAATGGAGGGAAGCGGCTACAAGCCAAGGAAGGTGGCAGCCTCCAGAAACTGGGAACAGCCCTCAGCTTACAACAAGGAAGAAAAGGGGGACTCCTCTAACCACCAGGAACTGAATTCTGACAGCAATCCGAAAGAGCAAAAAACGTATTCTCCCCTAGAGATTCCAGAAAGGAAGGGAGCCTATCAACACCTTGATTTTAGTCTAGCGAGCCCTGTACCAGACTTCTGATCTACAGAACTCTAAGACAATAAATGTGTAGTAATGGAATAGTGGCAATAGGAAACGAATGTGGCTACTACCCACCCAGAAGGTGCTTGAGCTGAGGGCCCACATTCGTGCATGACACACTCGACCATGCTATGATGCCCACCCAGACGGTGCTCGAGCTGAGGGCCCGAGTTCGTGCATGACAAGGACACTCGACCATGCTATGAGGCTCACCTCACAGACAATGTGTAAGAGGATACCAATTCACCGTGCTTGGCACCCAGCAAGCACTCAAAATATGTTACCTACTATAATCACCCTCATCAGCACTTCTCATACATCTAGCAGCAAAGCGATGTCACACGGCTTTCCCACGTGTCAGGTGAAGGGGCTGGCCAGCATGCTCTCCTGGGATCTGTGTCCTGGGTTTATCCTCACTCACTCCCTTCCTACATTTCCCCCTGAGGTGGAAGCTCAGGCTCCCAGGCTCTCAGGTGAGCCTCAGGTCTTCAGAGGGGCTGACTGCAATTCCCTGCACCTGGGAGCACACGTGACTGGGAGAGGAGCTCACTGGGGGAACAGCTCTGATGCTCTTTTTTTGGAGGCCACCAATCCAGGGAATCATAGGGCTCCAGGGTTTTGGGGGTACGTTCTAACTGACACTGTCACATCACCCTGGCTGTCGAGGGGCAAACCCCAGGCCCGTTCAAGGGTTTATCTTAAGGATACCTCATGTGGGCAGTCCACTCCCTCTGCTACGACAACCCTCATGTCCTGCAATTTCTGGGGTGCAGGGGGTTCTCTGCCACTCTCGTGGGTCTGTTGCAGAGATAATGAAATGGACTGCAAGGCACGTTGCAAACCAAGGAGGCTGCCTCACTTGCCCTCCAGAGCTGTGAACACGTTGCTGCTCCCTCCCTCCCTCCCACTGACATGCTCTGTTCTTAATAAGGCTCCCATAAAGATCTCTCCTGTGAGATAATCATAGACTCTCAGGGGCATGCCACTCTTAGCTGTCAGCAGCACTTAGGAAGACCTTATAAAGGCTTTCTAAACCTCCTGCTCATCTCAAAGTTGAGCTCTTAAAAACCCTGTGAAATCCCATTGCAAAACTTTGGTGCTTGACTCCTGGCTCTTTTCCTAAGTCTCCCCTACATCCCATCTGGCCCCTGCCATCCCCCCACAGACGTAGAGTGCTTGGGTCCCACAGCTCCGTCCTGCTGAGTGCCATCGCTGGCTCTGCTGCTGGCCAGCCTTCTCTCTGCCTTGCCTTCCTCCCCAACCCTAGGATGACAAATCAGAGACTACAGGACGCTGGCACTGGTACAGCTTTGCTCAAATGATAACAACGGCCACAGAGACACACCCATGCTCCCATCCTCTGTTTGCCGTGACGAGCTGCCTTTGGAGAATTAACAACTATTCTCAAGGTATAAGGCTATGATCTCATTATCTGGTCCCGAGTTTCTTTATCTGTGATCCAGAAGCACCCCAGGCAGGGTGTGGCGGGTCAGGGGGCTGCCTTTGGGAGACTGTTAACCCCATACACAAACACTGTTTCTTCACATTCAAAAACACAGGAGCATTTTTCTGGGGATACTTGTAGCTTCATCATTTTCTCAAAGAGGTCTGTGACCCGAGGGACATTAAGAACCCCAGTTTTAGACCCTAACCTCCTTCAGGAGGCTCGGACACTTGCAGGAGAAACTTCAAGCACTCCTCTGTTCCAGAAGCCTGGGACTTATCATGGAATCTGGCTGTAGTAGGCTCTTAGGAAATGATTTTTAAAAGAATGATTTCTGAAAGCATCCTCCAAGGTGCTGTGTTCATGCAGAGAGGAAAGCGTGCCTGGAGCAGGTGGGGGTGAATTTTTGCAGGCAGGTGGGTACGATGGCAGACCCCCAGGCTATGAGGTCTGAGTCCTCATCCCAGGTCCCTAGTCTCCAACTTGCTTCTTTACCTGCAAAAAGAGGCCAGAGACATCTGTCCCACACAGCTGTCCATGGAGCTGTGGGGAGGTTTCACAAAAACAGGAGGCGTGGAAGAGCTCTGTCAGCGAGTACCTCCTTCTCCTGCCCTTCTCGGCATGTTTCTGCGGCTACCATTCCAGTCGTACAGTTTCTCAGCATCAGGCAGATAGACTGTCTTCCTCTGCTTTGCTGGATTTTTGGACTGACGAGGGCCTTCTCTAGTTCTAGAAATTTAGAACCTCAGACCTTGGAGAGCCCAAGGCATCAGGGTCTTATCATACTGACGGGAGCCACAAGGCAGGTTTCCCCTCTGCTCTGGGACCTTTAGCACACACTTCCAGATGCTTCTCTCTCAGGGGCTATTTTGTAGGTTGGGGGTTTTAGGATTCTTCCAGAGAACAGAGGAAGTCATGACAGAGCCACATAAAAAGTAGAACATGGCAATGGACAAAGGCCTGCATCGAGGGTCAAGGAGATGTCAGTTCAAGTCTTGACTTCTGGTTTGCTGTGTGACCTAGAGAAGTTAAAATTCCTCTTTGTGTGTTAGTATCTTTACCTGGGGGATGGGGCACAGGGTAGGAGAAGGAAAGATCTCTAATTTTCCTCTACAAAAGAGAAGTCTTTAAAGGCCTCTGGTTTTCTGGAAGGCAATTACAATCACGATGATCTGACCCACTGAGGGGACACCTGAGAAGTCTTTTGCTTTGAGAGGGCGTAAGCAAGAGCAAAGGTGCTATGGGACACCTTAGCTTTTCAAGCCTGGCTGACTTCTCAACCACACAGGAACTTCCTCCCTAAGCTGGGGTTTGCGAGAGAGGGGAGGGTTAATCATAGCAGACCTTAACCAGTGTGGTGATTTCAACCCAAGACCCACGGGGATGCAAAAGGCATGGTAATCAGGTACCAGTCTGCTTCCTGAGTGCACCAATATCTCCACCAGCAACTGAGTCCTTGACATTAGGACATTTAATATCTTTGACATTTTAACAGAAAGATGTAACTTGCCTTTGGATCATGGCTGTGCTGAGGCGGAGGAGTGGGCTGCCCATTTTGGGCTGAGTCTTCAGATCTCACGAGGTCCGCTGTGGGGATGCTGCTATTTCTAAGATGCACATTGCACATTTCCTACATTTTGTATCTGTGCATTTGGATAAGGGAGGGAGAAGGACCGAAGTGCTTATACAGTGTGATATGGACTGAAAATTTTGACTGTTCTGAAATAAAAACATAAATACATTTCTAAAAAAAAAAAAATACATGTCTCTAGGGTGCAGTGGCTTCTCTCTGGAATAGGTCAACTCAGAAGTGTAGCTCGGGGGGGAGGCAAGGAATGACTCCAACTGAGCACAATCCCTCAAAGTGGTGTCTTTCCTATTTTCAAAAAGGTGTGGATGTATACCCACAATGAAAAGATCATAGAAGGAGCAGTGGGTAGGTCTGAGCACTGTGCAATGGGAACCCCAGTAGCCTATGGGTTCAGAGAAGGCTTCTGTGAAGTGCTGTTTGTGCTGAGGCCTGGACGGGGAGTAGGGTTTGGCCCAGGCAGAGAAGGGTAGAAAGGGTGCCAGGAATAGGGCACAATGTGGACCGAGGCCAGGAGATGCAGGTGAGAGTACAGAGTCTGTGTCAGAAACTGAAGGAAGATCAGTGCGGTTCTAATGTACAAGGAGGCAAGGCGACTGGCGAGGGAAGAGGTCGGAGAGGCAGGCAGGGCCAGAGTGCCTGGGATCTGGAGCCTGTCCTAGGGAATCAGGCAGCAGGGCATCAGCAAGTCGTGGCCAAGCTCTCATGGGGGCAGGAAAAACGCCCTTTTCAAGTGGTCCGTGGAGCCAGTCAGTTAGCATGGTGGATGGCTTGGTTGGGCCCCAAGTTCACCATCAGGTCTCACCATCTCACATTTTACATGAGAATTTTATGCTGGAAGTCTTTCTTGCCGAACATACCACAGCAGAACATGAATGCTCTGCCTTCTCCACTGACATTGGCACCTCCCGTCCTACTGCCTCCCTACAACTCACACCCTGGCAAGAACCGAAAGGCTGGATGATGGTCCATCCCCACCTATCAGGAAAGACATCTGAGGCCCAGATAAAAATCGTCTCCTGACTCGGGACAGTGTGAACCAGGAGAGCATCCAGCCTGGGGAGAGAACAGCTTTACTCAATGCAAGGGGGCATTTTCCATCTCCTGCAAAGGGCAGTAAGGAAAAGAAGAGGGAAGCCACGGTGGGCCATTTGAGAGGATTGCTTAGCCCACGTACGGTTTGGCACAGCTTCATAACTGTTTTTGGCATTCCTTAGAATATCAGAAATATGCACTGGACATTTGGATCACAACGCGAAGCACAATAGAACTGATTTCAGATTACGAGCTGTTTGGCACCTCCCCTGCCTCCACCTGAGTAAGTGCCCCTTCCCTCCTTGGAACATACACAGCGCACTCTCTGCCCCTACCAGACTTTACTGTGTGTTACAGTTTATCTACCAATGTGTTTTATCTCTCCTACTTGATTTTAAGCTGCTCAGAAATAAGATCACTCATTTGTAATACATTAACACAACGGGAATGGTAACCCTGGAACAGTGCAGCACAGGGTCCTAGGAAAGCTCTTGAGATCACATCCTGGCCACATCCCACAATGGTGAACTTGGACAATAGACTTACCCTTATTTTAGTTTTCTCATCTGTAAAAAGAGAGTCATAATACCTAACTTATGGTGCAATGTCTGATGACTAAATCATCTTAATGCATGTAAAACATTTGGCACCTGGCCGACCTTCAACAAATTTGGCCCTCTCACTTTCTGCATTCCTTACAGTATCCAGCCAAGGGCTTCATAAATCCTCCTTCAAAAAGCTGGATGAAGAAAGAGTCATCACGTGACTTTAATTATCAGGGTCTCCTGCCCACCGTGGGCAGCACTGAAGCCAGGAGGTCAGCTGTATAGGACTTTTTAGAATCCAGGCTCATAATAGGAAGCCGCAGAGGCTCGGCCTGTATAACCACCACCCTGAATTTAATGTTCACACTACCTCACTGCAAGCATTTAGCTAAATCTGGTGTCCTGTTAAAAATGACTATGCAGCGATCACCTTGAATTGAACAAGAAGACCCAGTCTGTCACTTTTTTCGCTGAATTGTAAATCAGAGAGCTCACAATTGATGTCGCAGCAAAACTCTGAAGGCAAGCACATATCACAGGGGGCCTTTATTTATTAGGCTAACTTGAAAGATTAAAGTTCTCAGGATGGAAAAAACTTACCAAATACAGCAAATAATCAATCTCAAGCCCCAAGTCATGGAAAATACAGCTAGTGCAAGAAGCAGTTCTATTCAAATGAGAACTTAGAAAAAAAATTTTTTTATCCCCATTTCTGCTCAATACAGATGTCCTCTCAACGCTTAGTAGACATCCTTGCTCATGGTAGTATTAGCTGCGTAACTGGGCCCTGAGCACAGTTTTTTTTACCAGAATTAACTCATCTAATCCTTAGTACAACCCCGTGGGGCAAGTGCTGTCATTATCCCTAGTTTACAACTGAGGAAACTGAGGCACCATGAGTGTGAGCAGCTTGCCAAGGTCATACAGCTACCAAGTGGCAGGGCCAGGACCAAGGAACCCAGGCAGTCTGCCTCTAGCGCCTTCACCCTGAACCCCTGGGCATTACAGCCTCTCAAAACCTGGGCTCTCAAACACTGGTGGAATTATGCTGAGCCTGGGGGCGGACTTAGTTGATAGTTTATATTTTGCATCCCTGTAAGACTTTCACATCCATGATCTCATTTGCTACTCCTGACAACCATATGAGACTAATAATGTAGGTCTTATTACCATCTGAGAGGGGGTAAACCCCCCCTGAGTTTCAGAGAGGGTAAGGACTTGCTAATTCCTAGCCCACAAATGGCAGAGGCAGGGCTTCAGAACAGTGGCAGGCAGGTTTGTGCCAGAGAGGGCTGTGGCCATGAACTTGGGCTGGGCAGTTCAGGGTATCTAAAGTGGGTGCTGGGGTATCTTCTCCCAGTACCCCACTCCCAGGTGCAAACATAGGTATGAAGGAAGTTCACAGATGGCTGATGCTAGCCGTTGAGCAGGGAAAACTGGGGTGTCTGGGGCATGCCCTCCTCTTTTGAGCACCCCTCCCTGCTCCCCACAGATTCAGACTCTCCCGAGGCTGGTAGATTCAGAGGGGCATTGTTTAATTTCCCAGGCCCTTGGTTTAAAGAAAAATACCATGACCACCCTTTAAAGGATTGAGAAATGGCACATATAGTAATACATATAGAACAATACATATAGTAAGACATACACATTTTAGGTGTACAGCTCAACAGATTTGTATAGCTGTATAACCTGAGGAAGCACTGCGTCGATCAAGATGTCATTTCTTTTAGGTGTTTGCCCTTAGCAGGAGATGCATAAGAAGGAAAGGCCCCACCACAAACCCCTCTGTTGCTCACATCTAGCCCCAGCCCCTGCTGGAAGGAGTTGAAAACTGAAGATGTGCAGGGCAAGGGAGCAGAGGTACAGGTCTAGGCTGTGAGAAGAGAGCCAGGGGAGTCGGAGATGGAGGCTCCCTCCACAGGCGGGCGGGCAGCAGAGCCCTTCCCTCTCCCTGCAGACAGTAAGTGCTCCATAAAGAGCTGTGGTGTGACGGGCTCAGCAATTCTCAATCTACTGGGGACCAAAATACACAAATATTACATACCACGTATATGTACTGAAGTTTCACATAAGCATTGCAAAAACTTCTTCTATACCCAAAAGTCAATTTACAGGAAAACCCACAACAGTGTAAACTGGCTCCTCGATTTATTATGTAAATTCACCCTGAATATTCACAGTGTACCTCGGACCTATCTGGCTTATGGGGTAGAAATGGTTATGAATTGGGATTCCCTCCACAGGAGGTTTACAGCTTAAATGAAGAAGCAAGTCTTACATGTACCAAATATTTGCCAATTGGTGAACAATAACAACCATGGTCATTAATCATTATGTTCCCAGTATGGGGCTAGACACTCTTTACTCTGTTTCATATGGTCCTCACACCTACCTGCCCAAAGTCACAAAGCTAAAAGGAGGCCCAGGCGGGATCCAGACCAGGCAGGGCGAACACCGAAGCTGGTGCGCTACACCACTATGCTCAAACTGCTTCTCTCCAAACAGCTCGTGGGCAGGCTCGTGGTGAGCAAGACTGTGCCGGCACCTGGGCACGCGTGTGCACTCGTGTGTCTACCTGTGACGCCCAGATCAACAAAGGGGTAATCTCTCAGGGCCCACGACAGCATATTAAAAAACTCTGACGCTGTGGTGCAGACACCATATACAACATAATTTAGAGAATGGAGATACCCGTGTGAGTTCGCATCCAGAGGAACGCCCCCGGAGCAGATGAGCCCTGAGCCGGCTCTTGGAGGCCCCTGGAGGCCATCCCCGCACGTGAAGAGGGCAGGAAGCCTGCCTAGGCATCCAGCATGGAGGCAGACATGGAGGTGGGGTGTGGGGGGCTGCCAACGAGTGGCATTCTAGAGCAAGAGGTAGCTCCGGATCAGTGTGGTCGGCTGCTCTGTGGTACGTTCTCCAAGCTCAGGGCAGTTTTGGACCCAATGCAGAGGGTGAAAGGAAACCATGTGAAGTGGTTGAGCAGGACGGCCAAGGGCAAGAGCAGCGTTTCTGGAAACGGCTGAGGAGACTCTAGGCACCGGACCCAGAGAAAGGCTGAGGCAGTAGCGAGGGGGCCAGGCCAGGCCCAGGCAACGGCACAGATGCACCCGGCAGGCAAGTGTAGGGAAGCAGATGACTGAGCAGGGCAGCTCATGCACCTGCGGTTGGGACAGAGATACTGCTACCCCCGCCCCAAGATGACAGAGGGGGAGCTCTTCCCAGGCACTCTCTTGTCCCTTAGAGGGACGGGAACCCCTGCCCGGAACCAGCACTGCCATGTTGACAGTAGGTTTGAGGATAGCACTACCCAAACACTTTTTTTTTTGCCACCTTCATGGTTTTTAGGCCTTTAAAAAAAAGTCCTGCTACTTTAACTTCAATCTAAACCACACTATAACTAACACTATGGTTTTGATGTGTTAGAGACCTTTTGTCCTAAAGCACATGAAAATGAACATATTAACACATGTGTTCAATTGCACACCACTGAAGCTTCTGGTTATACTTCACATACGCCCTGTGGCTCTGGTTCCTGGGGATCTGTACCTCAACACCATATTTGCTTGCTGGGTGTGTCTAGGACCAAGGCCACCTGGGTCAGCAGCCCTGAATGGGGTCTGTAGGACAGCCTTCCTGCCCTTGTTCAAGCCTCAGTGCTCACAGTCTGGGAACTGAGCTGTGGCAGAGCTGGCAGCCGAGCTGCAGCCAGGGATGAGCCTCCTCGACTAGGAGATGAGCAGGACGGAGCAGCCCACACTCTCAGTGCTCTCTCCTGAAGGCTAGCCAGAAATGACTGGTCCTCCCTAAGCCATGCAGTGTCAACCCACATTGCTCCTGGCAGGGCTCCTTCCCTCCCATGTCCTTTGTCAGGACACATACCCACGCAGGACACCCCACCCCTCACCCCCAAGCAGCTGGCCTTGCAGCGAATAATGGTCTACATGCCCGCCCACAAGACAAAGGTCTATGCAGTTCGTGATGGACCTTTCTTTCTGACTCCACACTCCAAACAATCACTGACCCCTTTTCCCAGTTCATTTGTGCCCCTAGCTATGCAGACCTCCTTGTGGTTCCTCACAGACTCCAAGCCTTCGCCTTTTCATTCCCTCTTCCCCAACTGTACGTGGCAGGCTCCCTTGTCTCCATCAGGTCTAATTTCAGCTGCTCAGGGTGGCCTTCCCAGACCACTGTTACAAATGGTAACACACTCCCTACTCCCCTTCCATCCACAGTAGGCACTCAATACTATCTGCAGAGTGAAAAAATGAACGAACAATATTGGTGGAGAGCATCTTGACCAAGGGGTTTTAAACACGTTAGTATGAGGGCTATGAACATCTGAAAATGGCCAGATCCACATTCCTTCTTCCCTGGAAGAATTGCTAGTGCAGGTCTTGACCAAAGAGTAGCAACTGGGTCTGGCCTGGCTTCTCTGAGTGATCTTGCAGTCCTCGTGCAGGTGAGGGGATGTCCGTGGTGCCCACCACTGTGGAGGGCTCCTGGGGATGTCCCTGCTGATCACACGGCCTGACCTACGTGGCACCCATGTGTGCCATGCCACTGTACAGAAAGGGCCCAGCAGAACCCTTCCGCTACAGAGATCCTACATCCCAGCCTCCCTGCTGCTAAAGCCAGCCCAGCATCTTTTGTAACAAATGGCAATGCACCACCCTTATCTGGAAGCTACTTGTCCAGCAATTTCTGTGAATCAAAACCCTGCCAGGAGCCATGAAGG